TTAAGAAATAAATTGTTTTTAGGAGAATTAAGATCAGGTAGACGTAGATTTGAGTCTTGATTCTAACAATTATGTGTGTGAGTGTGCAAAAGCTTTTCAACCTAGGGTTTCGTTTCTTCTTATAAAATGCTAATAGTATCTATCTCATAGAATTGTAAAGATTAAATAAGACATTGTTTAGCAACTAGTATATACTATTACTATTACTGCAATTTCTTCTTATTTCCTAGGCATTATTTGATATCCTATTGTTTATATAAAATATCTTGAGTTAATTCAATGCAATATAAAATCTTAGGAAAATACTGAACTCTGCAAGTGATTCTACAACACTATCCACTTCCTTCTAATATTCTAACTGTAATCGTATTGGTTCTTAGCTTTTTATCAAGGTTTTTTTGTCCTTAACTGTAAGCAGGATATGGCTATTAATAGTAGAAGGAGTCTACACATTCAGAAGTCAAGATAGAGGCCAGATAGTGGCACGACTATAACACTACTGGACCAACATGGTAAGGTCTGCGGTTCATACCCTGCGATCTTCCTCGACATTCTGGTCTACACCTATTATAAGGGCTAGCTGAGGTTGGCTATATGTTTCAGTGTGAGTACCCTATTGGGGGTATCTCTCTCTCTGATTCTCTTTCTCTATGCTGTGTCTCTGTTTCTTTCTCTCTCATGGAAGAAATAAATAAATAAACTTTTAAAAAAGATGTCAAGATAAAGCTGAAGAAGAAAAGATAAAACAGTCAAGTTGTGTAGCAAGAATTGAGACCACGTTGTATTAATATTAAACCCTAAGAAATAAATGAAGCAATAGCATCAAAATAAATAACTTAATGAGTTCTTTTATTATAAATTCAGGCCATACCGAACTACTTGCAATTTCTTGGCCACAGTTTGCAGTTTTATATCTCTGTACCTTGATACATAGTGTTTTATCTTGGAATTCTCCTTTCTCTACCACTTTTGTTCACCTAGTGGGCTCTTCCCAAAGAGCCACTGCAGTGGCCTCATGTAATTGGTCTCTGGTCAGTCTGTTAAAAGTCATCTTCACGGGGTCAGCAGATGGCATAGTGGTTAAGATACTGGGCTCCCACTGTGGTGCAAGTCCTGGATCTAGTGTCTTGAAACTCACACCAGGTGCAAGTGCATGAATGCCCAAAATGCTAGGAGGAGACTGAAGGAGAAGAGATTGCAGCATGACCATCGACCCTGGGGGGTGATTTCTCACTTTCTCTCTGTCTCAAGTGAGCACACATGCCCTATAGTAAAAATCTCTCTCTCTCTCTCTCTCTAAAAAAGAAGTCATCTTTGCTAAGATAGATCCATCACTATGTTTTTAAAAGCCTTGTCTAGTCTTCTGTTGTTCCTGTAGAACTTGATGCTTACGTCTGTTCTAGTACTTACTGTATTTTTACTTTTATTTTATCTTCCTGTGTTCCCTAAATCACTGTAAGCTAATTATGTTTTACACATTAGGCATCTAAAAGTGAATAATAAATGTGTATTGAATTAACTGACACATTGTAGTGTTTATGTATCTTGACTCATTAGATCCTAAAGGTTTTTAAAATATTCAGCTATCCATTCATCCCATTAATTCATTCTATCCATCCATTGAATTGATCTGTCTATCCTACTTATTCGACACTAGCTTACATTGGTTTTATTTTTCTGCTTATCCATTCCATCACCCTATCCATCTGCCCCTCTATGCTGTTCACCCATCCATCCCATCTATCCATTCCATCTATCCTAGTTCTTCATCCATTTATAGAGAAACCATTTAATAAGTAACAGGCATAGTGACTGGCATTAGAGATAAAAAATGAGAAAGGTATCATTTCTGATTTCAAGGGGCTCATAAAGAGGAAAAAATCACTTTTCTATTTTTTGAAGTAGTCAAAGTAAGTAGTAATAGAATTATTTTTGGTAACTACACTTTCAGTTTTCAAAAGTACAGTGCATATTTGTTTACAAATGAGGTGGGATTTTACTTTTTTATAATTTAGTATCGTATAGTAATTTTATGACACACGGATAACATTAAAGTTCTGGGGAAAAATATAGATCTGCTCTTTTGTGAAATATGTGATATCTTCTAGTATAATAAATTACGTTTTTTAAATATTGAATTACTACACAGAGATTTACTGTTTATAAATTATAAAGCAAAATATATTAGTATATTTTAATGTTTATGGTTTTTAAAATGTTATAACATCTATAAATAACTGATCTAATTTAGGAAATGAAATAAAAAGCAAAATTTTAATCTAGAATACAATCAAGGTTTAAAAATATATAGCCCTACGATGGCTGAAAACAGTGAGAAAAAGACAAGACTTCTTCTACAGGTGAGAAAAAGACACAGACCCTGGCTTTCTTATCATACCCACAATATAAATCCAGGAAGTGGAAAAGGCACCAAGGTGGCATAGTACGCATACACATGATCAAGTCTTCCCTGTCTACTAGTAACACGTGACTCCATGTCAGCCCAATTTTGACTGATCAGATGAATAACGTTCATCACAATAGCCAGTGGGAGCCCAGAGGTGCTCAAGCATTTCCTCACAAGACTCACCTAAAGCAGATTCCATTTTCTTTGTATTCTGTGTTAAAAATGTGAAGAGAGGGATAAGGTGAAATATGTTTGTATTTTTGTTATTTTATCTGTGAATAAGATTATGTTATGATTTAAGGGATTAGAAAGTTAAAAATGAATGTCAAATCTTAGCTATATATTTTTTAAAGTTTATTACACTGTATTTTTACATTTAAAATCAGACTATGATGTTCAGCATTAAAGATAAATGTATTTGTGTTCTGTTTAACTTCTCTTTGCTAGCTATAAATAGATATTCTCATTTTTTGATATCTTCTGCTAATAAACTGCATTTAAAATTACAGTCAACTTCCTGTTTCTTTCAGTATAATTTACATGTACTTTAATGAAATGTCTAGAAAATAATGTTTTAAGATTATAAATGTCAAGTAAATTAACCATTGCTATATTACGAAATAAATCTCAGTCAGAGAGAACAATTTAAACCTAAACAAATATTCCTTTAATTTTCCTAAAAATAAGTTATCCAAAACCAATTGAAAATATCTTAATTTCTTTTTTGTAATTGTGTTTATTTTTATTTTTATTTATAATTATTTATTTATTTATTTATTTGGAGAGGTTTTCGCTGTAAGGTGTGTGCACTTGCCAGGAAAAGAGAGACAGAGAGACAGAAAGCGAGAAATCACCCCCCAAGGGTGATGGCCATGCCGCAATCCCTTCTCTTCCATTCTCCTCTCAGGATCTTGGGCATGCGCACACATGTGCCTGGTGCGAGTTTAAGCCACCGGGTCCGGGACTCGAACCGTGGTCGACTACATGGGTGTCCAGTGACATAGCCATTATGCCAGCTGCTGGTCCTGTAATTGTGTTTTAAAAGACTTGGATTTTCCTCTATTTTGCCATGTGTTTTTATCAACTGGACTAGACTTGACGATAGGATTTAAGTTATTTTTGTCATTTCATGTGCATAAAATATTCATACCTGCTGCAAATATATATTTATTAATTAATTTATTTTAAAGAACTATTTTATTTTTAACTTTATTTTATTTATTTGTTTATTTAAATTTCACCAGAGAGGGACAGAACACGCACGAGAGAGAGAGACAGAGAGAGAGGTGGAAAGTGAGAAAGCAAGCCTCCAGATCTGGAACTCAAACCACGGTCAGCCATGTGGGAGTCCAGTGCCTTTAACCACCATGCCATCTTCCGCACATATATATTTATAAAGAAAAAAAGCTGAAAAAATAGTGTAAAATTTTTAATCTAAAAATTTTAAGTGCATCTAAATTAGGAAGTTTGCTACTACAAAATAGATTCAATTAATTAACAATAGTTTATTTTATATTTACTCTAATTTAAAGTTAAATTAAAACTTGGAAATAGTTTGACTATTTTTGTGTTTTCCGCAAAGTAGAAAATATTGATAGTTTGCTATTTCCTTTCACTTTCTATTACTAACTCTCATTCTGAAAGTTGTTTAACCTAGCATATTAGTTTATTCCCATGGCAGTGTTAGAAATTATCCTTATAAAATATGATCCATCCACTTGTCTTTTGACAGGCCAATGGAGTATTTTTTAGGAGATATAATAATTGAAGGTATTGACAATTAAAGAATATATATAGATATATTTCATGATTATAACAAAAATATTTTGATATAGAGTACTGTAAAAATGTAAGATGTTATCATTAATAAATAATACATTTTATATATGTTTAATCTTTACTTTTTTAATTGCCAGAGGGTGCATACATTCACTGGAAAGAGAGAGAGAGGAAAAAGACAGCCTTAATAGCGTGCGATTATGCCACAATCCTTTCTCCTCTATTTTTCCATCTTGTTGGGATTTGGAGGATGTGTATGTGCATGCACATGTGCATGAACACACACATGCACACGTCTAGCATATTTGTTTTTTTACAACTTTATTTTATTATTATTATTTTTTAATATAACCAAACAGAGAGAGAGCGGGAAAGTAAGAAAGCAAGCCACCAGGTCCAGGACTCAAACCGTGGTCAGCCATGTAAGAGTCCAGCACCTCGTGCACCTGCTGGCCCTACCTAGCACGTTCTTAAAGCTATCAAGGACATCAGCTGAACCACATTTGGCCATGTGGGATCTGGCTTCCATAACCATTAGGCTATGGGGCCAGCCCAAATCTCTACTTTTCCTAATGTCTTCCCTCCTATTTAGTAGGGATTCTTTGTGCTTTTTATGTGATCCCTTATCTACTTCTTTATCTTTTGGTCAATCCTACCAGGCAGAGAATAAGAAAGGAATAAAGAACTGATAAGCACTGTGCTAGGCACTTTAAATAATGAGCTAATTTAATAATTACAGCATGCAAAATCTTAATATGTCCTTAGGTGAGATAAGTCAGGATTAATGTCCTTTTTTTTTTTTTTTTTTTGACAGTGGACGTGTATGCTAGCCAGAACAAGATAGACACAAAAGAAGAAAGTAAGAATTACCCCCTATGGGAGATGGTCACGCTACAATCTTTTCCATCTCTCCCTCATTTGGGGATTTGGGGCTTGCATGTACATGTTTATTTCTCAAGCAGCTGGGTCCATGACTTGAACCACACTGTCAACCATGTGGGATTCTTCTTTTGTCTTGGTGTTATTATTTCCCTGTTAGTTTCCTTACTGCTACTTCAATAATCTCAACTCTTTTAACACACTAGTAAGCCATCAATCATTGCATAATAATTGAACTAGAAGGGATCTTTATGGACCCCATCCCAATCTATCCATTGCAGAGCCAAAGAACCTAAGGTCTACTATGAAGAACATGACAAGAATTAATGCCATAAGCCATGGTCGATTTCCCCTTATTCATCTCCATAGAGCATCTGTAAATCTTAGGACAGAGAGCTGCTCGAGCTGTATGATGGCATGAGAAGGGATATTTAGCTGAGGCCAGTATGTATGTGTGCATTTGTATCTTGTATCTCTTTCAATCATAGCATAAATATATAAACTTAAAAAATATGGAAGATTGAGAGATCATGGAGTGAAACTGAAGGAGAAATCAAACCAACATAAGAAATGGGCAAAGGAAGAGCATCTCTGAAGTCATTATTGCTTCTAAGGAAAGTATCACCAACATTATGAAGAGATGAATCCTTCTCAGAGCTCTGAAAGTGTTTATTTTGATTAGCATGCACTTTCTTTAATTATTTTATAGGATTTTCACACCCCAACCTATGTTTTTCTTTGTTTTCCCTGGCTACCAGGGAACTTAGTGCTTCATTTTGTATTCAATTGTGGTAGCCTCTCTGAGACTGATTTTTTTCTATGCAAATTGTGTTATCAATTTTTTTTCCTTTGTAGTCATTTGCCCTTTATTGCTTTTTTCTGTTTTAAGTTATCTCTTAGGAAATTATTTGTGCCTTCGCATTGACCAATGACTTTGTTCATGAGTGTAGAAAATTGTTTTAGGTGTTACTAGACATATGATTCAACTGCATAGTCACAACGGCAAAAATTGAGACTGGTGGTTCTAGCATAGAACAAACATCTACAGTTATCAAAAGACTTATTTCTTTAGTGATTTTTTAACTCTAAATAAGCCTTTTTATGTTTTACATAGCATATGTAGGCTTAAAATTTCAAAGAAGGCTTTTTTCTTAAATCTTAATTTTTCTTGAGTCTAAAATTGGTATAACATACCACTCCCAAATTCCTGAACACAAATTTTTTTTGAGATCTGTAATTAGTCAATCTGTTAAATTAAACATTTTTCCTTCGCTTTTTAAAAACTCTTATTGCACTATATGCATCATTATGAGAATACTCGGTTCTTTTTGAAAGAAGGCAAGGCATAAATAAACAAGCCGTATTTACTAATCACCTCCCTTGCACCCACATTTTCTCAGGTATTACGATGATAAAGATAAACATGCTTAGCTTGATAAGGGACAAAAATACTTTAACACGCTGTTATGACATGGTGAGAAAGTGGAGATCTCCTGTGAAGGTGTAATAGAACAGGAGACACTTGAGCTGGCTCTCAAGCAGTAACAGGGACTTTGCGAAATGTGTCTCTTTGGTGAAGAGTGAGGATTGTGGTGAGGAAGAAATTGCACATGCACACATATCTAACATTGAGAGAAGGGCTATTTGGGAATTTAGGCTGGAACAGATGGCTGAGACTATTAGAAATGGTGGACTTTATTGTGATATCAGAACCCAGGGTAAATTATTGCCAGAAAAGTCTGAGCATGGAGGTCAAGATATTGGTTTTCATTTTTTTTTTAATTTATATTTCATCATTGTACATCTCTATAGTACACAATATGATTTTTCAAAGAATGCATGTAGTGCATGACAGTTGAATCAAGGATATTACCTTATACATCATTTTCAAAAGATAATTTTACATTCTTTTGTTTGTTTTTTCCTTTGCCCCTCCCACCTACCCTCTGCCATCTACTCCGCTCCTGTACAGTCTCTGGAATCTACACTTGTCTTCCCTACTATCATACGATCAGATCTTCAAATCTTTCCATTGTCAGCACCTTTTTAAGGCAAGATACCCTCTTTCCTTTATCCTTGTATTTCTATTGTAACTTTATGTAAAGGAAGAATAAAAAGACCTAGAAATGATACAATCTTTTTTTACAAAATGAATGAAGTCTAAAAGAAAACCTAAGTCTTCCCTCAAACATGAAAATCCGTATTTAGGTACTTAGACATTGATCACTGTGGTTACTTTAAAATGATGTACAGGAGAGATAAAAGATCAGTGAACGCTGAGATAGGCTCAAATGTGTGGGCTAGGACAACTGTAGTTCTTTGTTTCTGGTCTTCAGTGTTTTAACAATTATCAAATAGCAGTTTGATAATAATGAAAACTAACTGGGAGGGATTTTGCAATTTTTTTAATAGTGAACAATCTGTATAGCATTAAAGTGATTTTGAGCAATACGTCAGGAGTAGGTTAGGGTATTGCTATTTAACATTACATGTTTTCTTTTGACTATTGTACGTAATCAAGACAGTTAAGTTATATAGATTGTAATGCCACAGTTGTGCATATGCCATGACTGAGTTAGATGTCAGTCAGAGAACTGAAGCATAGTCTGTTCATTCTGTAATTTTTATAACTGATTGCAAAGCATGAAGTTATATTGACTATTTAGCTAGCCACCCCAAATCTTTTGTTATAGTTATTTTACAAATTAGAAGTTAACCCAAATTAAACAAAAGTATGACCACAGTTAAGCTTTATCTAAAACATAATTTTTATAGTTTATCCATTCAGGCTATCATTTCTCACTTTTGTCCTTGTTATCCTCTTGTTTATGCTATGAATCTAAATCTATAGCATTTGACCCTGGTTACACATGAAAATAGATAATATTCTATATAAGGAAAAGATATTTTTAAGGGTTTCATGTAGAGATCTCAAATCCAATTTTTCTAGTATTTTCACTAATAAACAGATAGATATGCCCACATAAAATATATTGACCTTCAAGGAATGATAAAATAACTCTTAGGGAAGTAGCAGATCCTTTAAAGTATCCATGATAAAGGAAGATGTCATTATGAATCTATCCCTGAGAAAATAAAACATACCTTTTATAATTCAATTAGAGGATTACCTTGCACTCAGAATTTTTCAAAGGCTACCCTTAAACTATAGAATAAAATCTAAATCTTTAGTATGAGTGGTATTCAAAATGCTCATAGAAAATGTGTACTATGAAAAAACTATACATAGACTTAGATTTTTTTTTGCACCCAAAACAACTTGTACTTTAATTTCATTTTCCCGTAATTTCTTGGAGTTTCTGTGTATAATAGTATTTTTTATGTCAGTATCAGCTTACTAACTCCCTCCCCCCATTCTCCCTCATGAAATCTCTGCTCTGGTCCTAATGTTTTTACCTCAGTTCTGTGAACTTAACATGTGATCTTACCGCAGGACCTTTGCATTAAAACTAGCCTCTATTATTAGCAAGAATTCTATTCACTTGCCCCTCTTACTACTAATTTTGTTAGTGTTTGTTGAGTGTTTACCGTACTCAACCCTTTATACATATTACAATATTTAATTCTCACAATAACCCTGCAGCATAGATATCCTGATCGATAGAAATTAAGTACATTATGCAAGGTAATGTAGCAAGCAAAGTGAAAGCAGTCAGGTTTATCCCAAGCTTTCCAAGCCAAGAGGCAGAGGGGAGAGAGGGTATGAATGAACTCATCTCTTTCTGCAAATCTAAAACTGCTAAAAGAAATAAAAGCTATTTTTCAAAAATTTGCCAGAGAGTGCATTTGCTCACCTGAGACAGAGAGAACGTGAAAGCAGGAAAGCATCTTCCATGGGGAATGGACACACTGTGATCCCCTCTCCTCCATCTCTCCCTTCTTTTGGGAATGTGGGCACATGTGCACATAGACCCATGTGTTTCTCAAGCCACAGGGTCAGGATTTATACTGCACCGTTGACCATGTGGAATCCAGCCATCTTCACCACCACATCACTGGCTGGCCCCCAAATGTATTAATTTAAATAAACAAACAAATGAAACTGATCTGAAGGACTTAGCGCTGAGTTGTAAAGGATGATGAAGAGAAAGTATCTGAGGAAATGACAGGAGTAGAGTCTGGAAAAAGTAGGTTGAGTTCCAGAGTATGTTTGATGTTTTCCAATATGTCTCTTTTTTCCTATCATAATGTAATATTTAAAAAAACTCTTGTGGAGGGCAAGTAGGTAACATGGAAGTTAAGGCAGTTGGATCCCACATGGCCAATTGTACGGTTTGAGTTGCAAACCTGGTGTCTTGAAAAGAGTGTGCCAGGCACGTGTCCAAGAGGAGAATGGAGGAGAAGGTATTGCAGCGTGACCATCCCTCCAGGAGGTGATTTCTCACTTTCCCTCTCTCCATCTCTCCCTGTCACTCTGGTAAATGCAGGCACCCGATAACAAACTTAAAAAAACAATAACAAAAACCCTTGTGAAAATACTATGTGGAAATAATTTATCTTATATGTTCCTAACATAACATTGTTAATATTTCCATTTAAAAACTAAGTTGCATTATAAATTATCTGTTAAAATTAAGAATAATTTGTGAAAGTATTTTTAATGTATGTGATTTAAAGAGTCATATCCTTAACTTTCAAAGAACACTAACAAATCAATGGTAAAGAGACAAAAACTCCAAAGAAAACTGGGTAAAATACACTAGCAAGTGGTTCACAAAATATATAAATTCAGCTAACCAGTATATGAAATGTTTAAAGTCACTAGTAAGCAAAGAAATGCAGCTTAACCATGATTTTTATTTAACGAATTAGTATAAAAAATTTCAAATGTATACTATATAGGTGTATATTTGGTACACATATATATTTATGTATACACACACACACATATATGCACATATATGTTTTGTTGCTGCAATCATTGTTAATTAAGGTTTAATGAAATGGGTATGGACACAAAGAT